AGCTATGTGTCCATCACTACCCCAGTCTATAACAACTTGCTGTGTATCCAGCACTATCCACAGGCTTCACAGCTGCTTAGCTTTTGGGATCGGGTCCATTCCAGATGATTTGTTCAGCAAGCCTGTGTTTTCGCGGTTGCACAACACGATTCGCGCGTTTGGGAATATTCTTTCATAGGACATATCGGTGGGGATGAATTAGCTCACAGGGCTATACCTAATACCTAATTAATGAAACTGAAAAAAATGAAAATATATTGTTCACCAAGGACACACACACACAAAAAGGAACGTTAGCAGATCCCACCGAGATTTTAGCTCGGATCGTTGGATTCAGAGTCCGGAGTGCTCAACATTCACACCGTAGAGCAGTGACGTGTGGTGAGGTCAATCGCTGGGGAGGCACTGGCTAGTGTCAGAGCCAGATTCACACACTGAGAGGGGGTGTGGCCTCACGGAGGAGGGCGTGTCCTCACTGAGGGGGGCGTGTTAGACACGTCCCCTTCAGTGAGGCAGATGTAATAGCTGCCTCCCCTGGTGCTTTTTCATTGCAGTTTCATGACGAGACCAGCGAGCCTAAACATCTTCATACACATACGTGAAATAAGTTACCTGGAGTATGGAAGGCGAGGACATGAAATTAAGGGGTCTACAAACATTACATTGGTGACATACTGAGATAGTAACAGGCACGCGCTTATTGCCCGCAATCCAACCAGTTACTGGGGGGTTGCGCAATCAGAGGGGAGGCTGATCTCGTCGCTGCATCACCTCTCGGCTCTTCCTCTATTTGCAGCGGAGCTCCGCAAATTTGGCGATTTTGACGATAAAATGATTGGGATCGTACAGAAATGACATTTATAACACAGATCAGTGGAAAAATCCTAATATTGATTTTATTTGATTATTTTTTTTTACTTTTCGTAACAGCTATTTTCATTGTGAGAATGACAGGCGAGGCTCTGCCTCCCCTGCCTCCCCTGACCGCACGTCCCTGCCGTGGAAGCCCGGGCTCGGTGAGACGTCAGGCAGGGCACACGGCGGTGGCGAGGAGGAGGAGGAGAAGTGCGGTCGAGTCGATGCGGGGCCGGAGACTCTTTGAGCGGCCCCTGCGGCCACAGCGGGAACCTCGGCGTGCCTCCTTGCTGACCGTCATCGGTTCGTGATTGTGCCAGGCGACGTGCGATATGAAGACAACGCAAGGGATGTGATTGCGTAACGGTGGATGGGCAGGCGCGCACACGCATTATCCATCTTGGGAAGATTGGGTCAGAGCGCGTTTTTTGTTGTTGTTGTGTTGTTGTGCGTGTTTGGTTTGTAGTCCTCCCCCAACACCTCCGATTAACACGGTTGGCTATGTACGGTGCCAAAAAGGTTCAACATACTACTCATGTAAATTTAGTGTTTGTGCTGTAGAGCTGATACTTTTTTTAGGGGGGAGGGGGGGGGGGTTCCACTGCACGATGCGCGACGTTTCGCTGCACGTGTTGAATTCAGTTTCGGAAGAAGCTCCCTCCAAGCAGGCATCACGCGCGGAACAAACCCGAACACCACCACCCACCCACCACCACCATCATCAGCAGCAGCACAAGGCCGTGCACAAACGGGCTGTGTTCACGCACGCTCGGTTTTGTCGGCAACGGATCACGAATCATGATCACGGTTCGCCCGGGGTCACGGGCATGTGATGTGAAGACGGCGCTCGGGTGGGTGATGCCACGTGCCCTCCTCGGCTGCCCGGGCGATGTGTCGCGTTCGCCCGCTGCGCGGCTATGTGCCCGTCACGTCGTTCACGTTCCTGAGACCGCGTGGCTTGTGGGAAGGCCTTCGTCCGTACCGTGTCCGTCCAGACGGTTTAGAGACCGTCCATAAATGACGTCACGCGATTTTGGACGATTTTTGACCCCCCCCCCCCATCGTCACACGGCGTCACAAAAAGTCAGACCCCCCCCTTTAAATATGACGTCACAAAGCTCTGCCACCCCCCCCCCAAAACCATATTTCCATTTTGAAAATAAAACATGCTTCAAATCGCTTTAAACTATTGTCATTGCAGTGCGTATGTAATGTGGCGCTGCACTCTGATGTTGTAGGAGTGTTGTTATAACAATTAGTGTTGTTATAACAATTCTATATTTATTTAAAGTTGCGCATTTTGATGTGACGTCACATTTGTCACCCCCCCCCCCCCCAGGTGCGTGACGTCATTTATGGACGGCCCCTTAGCCCGTATTCTTGTACAGGGAAATTTAATGTTCAGGTCCACGGGGCGTACAGTCGTTTTGTGTTTCTCCCATCTGATGGGACGATGTAGGATGTGCACGTTGAGATTTACGAGGGCACGCGGTGACCAATAAGGTTTGGATTGGTCTGTAATAAGGTGAGGCACTGATAAGGGGTTAGGGGCCGTCCATAAATGACATCACGTACCTAGAGGGGGGGGGGTGAGGGTCAGACATTTGTGACGATGTGTGACGAGGGGGGGGGGGCTTGAGAAATGTGACGTCACATCAAAATGCGCAACACGTTCTACTTAATTAAATAGACTTTTTAATAAATGTTTTCTCCTACAACATCAGAGTGCAGCGGCACATTAAATACGCACTACAATGACAATAGTTTAAAGCGATTTGAAGTATGTTTTATTTGGGGGGGGGCAGAGCTTTGTGACGTCATATTTAAAGGGGGGGGGTCTGACTTTTTGTGACACCGTGTGACGAGGGGGGGAGGGGTCAAAAATCGCGTGACGTCATTTATGGACAGCTATGGTATTATTACTGTAGTATGATTACTCAAATGACAAAAACAAACGGGCACACTTTAATATCCCGGGAAGACTTAGAGGCGTTCGTAACTGCTAATTGAGCAAGTTTACAACGTGGTTTTTAAAAAATGTCCTCGTACGGCATTTAACGTGAAAGCATTGTGCACTGGCCTGAGCTGTTAAAGCATGATATCGCCACCTAGTGCACCATCCCGTGTAATAGCACCGCTTGGCGGTGACGGATAACGTTTAAAATTAAACTTTTAGACATAATTAACTTTTAGACATAATCATACGTCAAAGGTTGATACAAAAGCAGGGTCCTTGGAGCCGACAGGATTAAGAAAAATCAGTATTTTTACACGGGCGATTGCGCAACGCAGCGTTGGACTTATCAGCAGGATGATGTTGGCAGGGTGTTCCTTTAAGACGTAGGAGGCTTTCGCGACCAATATCATCCGTAATAGAGGTTTTGTTTGTGTTAGATCGCGTAAATATGTGTCGTTAAATCCGCCACCACCCGACACAACCAATGACTAATTTTTGTCACGTAAACAGAACGTGCCAATTCGTTACGAGTACAGCACACCGATTTGAGTACTCTTAGATTGTAATTTGTACTCAGATTGTAAATGTTGTGGCTTTGCACTCCAACACTTACAATCTCCAACACACCGGTGTGCTGAATTTGTCACGAATTGGCACGTTCTGTTTACGTGACAAACTTTACTCATTGGCTATGTCGGGTGGTGGCGGGTTTAACGGCACATTTATATTTACGCGACCTAACCCCCCCCCCAAAAAAAAAAAACCTGTATTATGGAGGATGTTGTCAGCAGGATTGTTGTTTAGTGATCCACCGTGCGAATGGGCCATGTCAAGCAACGCCGATGATGAACGTGTGGGGAGCGGTGGCGCAGTGGTTAGCACACTGCGCTACGAACCCGGCGACATACCTGTCAACCCCTTATCAGTGTCTACCCTATTACAGACCAATTCAGACCTTATTGCTCACCCCGTGTCCTTATAAATCTCAACGTTCATCCTACAAAGTCCCATCACAATGGAGAAAAAGACATTCTTTTGCCCGTATTGAAACGGCTGTGCGCCGTATGAACCTGAAAACTCAATTTCCCTGTACAAGAATACGGGGTAAACCGTATGGGTTGACAGGTACGCGGCGACCCGAGTTCGACTTCCGCTCGCGGCCAAGAACAGCGACGATTATTTGAACCTGCTCTGGACCTCCCCGAGGTTGACTCAGCCTCAAATGAGTACCTGGCGCGGTGTGTAAGCATCAGAACTCGGGGAGACAAAGGCGGTCGGGGTGTGTTGGCCTCCCACCCCCTTGTGTGGCGTGCCTGCCTTCATAGGTGGTTGCTAAACGCATTTGCCTCAACAGCCAGTTAAAGGCTATACGGGGTATATTTGTCTTCGTGTGATGAACATTTAAAAAAACTATATTATATTTGCCCAGTTGCGAGTGACTGACATGCATTGTAATGATGACCTCGAAGGGCTATATCGCTGACATGGAACAAATACCACTTAGTATATGCGCATGAGAAAAGTCAAAACGCTGGATTTACACAATCGTGTAGCATATTTATTTAAACGCTGTCGTTTATGGACAAAGGCGTACAACATTGTGTATGCGGATGTTGCGAAAGGTGTCAAATCCAAATATGAGCTCACATTTATTTTGGTTCTTCTGTGCAAGTGTGACACTAAAGCTGATAAAGAGCCAGCAGACTCCACTGCCAGTCAAGAGGACTGTGCAGAGCACGTGGCACGCTTATGACGTAGCCACCGCCATTCACGCTTGCGTTGTCTTGTGAGAGTAGTCTGTTCTTCTGTAATGCGGTTGTTCCTGAAGTACACCACGTTATAGAAAAATTGCGTTATAATAAATAATGTATAATAGAGGGTAGAGCACAATCCGCAATAACACTTGAGATGCATACGCAGGCTGAACAATGACCGAGGTGCGTGCGTAGCGTCTAGAAGCATCCAGCAGCATCCCGGTGCCTCGTGCGATGCTACGCCGAGGCAGCGGTACAACCGCTTATTCCTACTCGCGCGACAAAGTTCCGTTCACTCGATCGCGTTATATCCCATTCGCGTTATGAAGGACACAAGTTAAGGGAGAACATTGTAATTGTGCAAGGTTTGAATACCGTGCGTAGCTTTCAGTTCTCAAGGAGGCCACTCAAATCAGCAGAGACACCAACCCACCTTGGCCACAACAGGTTCCTGTGGTAATTTATTTTGTGTGTATACATTATACCTAGAAATGACACGTGTACTCCATCGTTCAATTCTACAACTCAGACAAACGAACAACTAATTACACCAGTGTGTAATAAATAGGGTATTGCAGGTACTTTATAGACATCATTACACCCAGTTATAATGTAAGCGAAGGTAAATACAATTTGAAGGTAAAATATTTTTTCACGTGAAAATGTCACGTACTCCATGAGCGGCGTCGCATGGATTAGTGTGCACTGCGCTATGAACCGGGCGACCTGAGTTTCCTTCCAAGCCACGGCTCACATCAGTGGTGAGTTGCCATCTGCAACCCTTCTCTTTCCCTTTCGATAAACCCGCACTGTCCAGCATGGTGAAGTATGGTCAAATAGCCTCCTCCCCCACCTCCGCCATGATCCAAAATGGCACGGGGAGGGCCTTCATCCGGCACTGGATTGACACAGGGCAGAAGATTATCATTATTACTACGTAACATCACTTAGCTTATAATTGTATGCATCATTGGAATTTACGAGTACTTTTGATCACAGCACTGGCTGCCCCCCACCCTCCTTACGGTTCAAGGCGGGACGTGTTCCCACGACCGCAGGCTTCAAAGAGACTCGTAATTGGGCTTTCCACTTTATCGGGGCGTTAAACTCCCACAGGCGTCTCGTCTTCTGTTGTTGCAGTCGTAGTGTGTTTGCTGACAGGAGCATTACTAACACACGTTAATACTCTGCAACTTAGTCCGTCGTAAACTTTGTCCCAGCTCAAAAAAGCACGAACGATTAATAAAGAGATTCATCTCAAATACTTTAAAAAAATCAATACAAAAAGTAAACAATAATGCTACCGAGGGTTATCTGATATACTTGTAATGATGTGTAGCCTCGAGTAGCGGGAAAATGGTATTTGTGAAAGCCTAGGTTGAGAAGTTCGCTTAAAGGTGTTTGGTCCATTCTTACACGCAGCTTCCACAGGAAAAAAATTACTGGGGGAAAATTCTCCCACTGAGAGAGTGACGGAAAACCTTCGAGAACCCTACTCCATGGTTGGGTGCTTTATAAGAGCTGCGATGAAATCCAATATTTAGTTTGCTGGGTATCGAATACTTGCGGTAAATTAGTCAGCTCGGCAATCACCTTACTGCACAAAAGGCTCAATATCGAATTAAAATTTGCACCTAATCTGGCTGAATTCCACCTGTAGGAATTAATATCGGCTTGATTATCATGCGACGAACAATCTCATAGCAGAGCTACTGGGTGTAGAGGATAAACAGGCCCCTTGAAGGATTCTTGTCTGAAAAACCGCATCTGCAGCCACTGTCTGACAGAGCGGACACACTGCTCTGTGAGATTTCCGAATGAATTCAATCTCATGACTTGATGCCCACAGCACAACTTTAATAAGTTGGTAAACAAAATAAAAAAGTGCATTTGCGGCCTTCACATTAAATCCACTCCAATTGAGTAGGAAAGAGTATTTGGCTGCTATAAATATCTACACGGTAAGCCACTTCGTTGAGCGATTATTTGTCGCCAGGTCGCTTCTGAAAAAGAGCTATGAAGCTCAGTGGGCCTTACCTGGTAAAATAAAAAAAAAAATTCAGTTAGCAGTTAAGTTTAAAGAGTGGGAGAAACGTAATTTACCCACACGGTACACCCATTTAATAACCCCTGCCACACAGTGGCACGAAGCGCGGAGGGCCTGGATGGGCCTCTTTGTGTTCCTCTGTCCCTCTGCCAATGCTGATAACCAGACTGAGGTCAAAGGTCAAAGCTCAAGCAGTTTTGGCGAGGGCCGAGAGTGCCCTTTGAGATACATCGCTGCAGGTGAAGCTCTTACCTCAAGGTTTGTGGAAATCCTGGGAGATAATCCAGGCGATGAGCTTCACAGTTTTGCAACGTGCCCCCGGTATTTGCGCTGGGTTTAATTTTGATTGTCATTGAGATTTTGTTTTGGGAATCCGGTTTATAAGGGAAACAGTCTTTGGTGTGCAAACTAAACAACGACGTTTCAAGCCTCGATTAATTGTCTTGCCGTGTAATACTGAAATTACAATGCGACTTAACACACACATCTAAATGATCAGCCATGACCTATCGACTGCTACATGAAAGCATCCTCAAGCGTCCACCACCACTCGTAGTCCTGCGACGCGACAGTGGGTCTCTCCTGCACACGAGGTGATCGTATCGCTCCACCTCGATTGTTGACGTTCTCTCAGTCACCTCCCCTTAATTTGGCTGCCACCTCTATCACGAGTCCTCACCGCTGCCCATCGCCCCCCTTCCAGCGACGCGTCCTCCTTTGGACACTTTTTCAACTTTTGTTTAATTTTCTTTGTCCATGTCCAAGTTTCTCTCGCTATGCCGCAGCAGCTGACGCGCCACTGATTTAAAACGTTCTTCTATTAGCACGTTGCTGTGCCTCTTTTCACAATTAACGTCCGTTTTTAGAAAACATTCCAATCAGCCGAGTTTTATTCCAACTTGCGCACTCGTATACTTGAGAGGATATATACCTAGGGCAGATATGTGAAGTGAACTTGGATAAAAAATGTTTGAGCACAGTTGGCTACGTACGGTGCGAAAGAAGTTTAACATACACACAGGACAAGTTAGAAGGCTTAAAACACTAATGGTAAGCATTTGCCTTGTTCAGTGTATCAAGAATATGAATAGAGTATCTAGCATTTAGGAATACATAGATGCAGTTTTAAAATTAAAATACTTAGAGGCCACTACAGGCCACTTTTTGTTTTACAACTAAGGAAAAGGAATAAATGTAAGGAAATTATGGAGGCCTTAGCTCAGCAGTGCAAAGTTAATGGTTGACAAACAGATGTTGTTTACGTGAAAAGTGAAGACACGGAAAAACACTTGAACAAAACGGCATAAAAAATAGAAAACATACAAAAAAAAATTACATTCTCCTCTTAAAAGAAGAAACAATTGCGACAAGCATCTAACTCCCGTGTACCTTTGCGTGAAAAATTTTCCTCACGTCTCGGTCACCGCCCATCCCCCGGTCTCACATCGCGCCAACTTGCGCCCGCGACTCATCCACGGCCCTGGCTGCCGCCGGTGTCGTCGCCCGCCTGGCCGTCCTCCCCGTTCGGCGAGGACCGGCTCACGTCCGCGATTCCCGACTCCTGGTCGCTGTTCTGCGCCGACCAGTCCGACTCGGCGTCCTGCACGCTGGAGCTGTCATCGGCCTTGCCGTTCCCGCTCTTGCCCCCTTCGCTGGCGGCCGAGAGCCAAGTGCCGCCGCCGCCGCCGGCGCCGGCGCCGGCCGCCTGCCACTCGGGAGCCACCATGAGGCGGGTGAGTTCGGCGGCCGCTTTGCGGTTTTTAGCGCCGATTGGGCTGGGCGAGCGCTGCTTCGGTAGCGTGCCTCCCAGTCCTGTGAAGGTCTGTTAGCGAAGATAAGGAGCGGGAAACCATCATCACGCGAACTCCGGTCATCCTTGCAGCAGCAGCAGCAGCGGTGGCTTTTGGCTGGCCGTCGAACAAAGACGGGTCACCGTATCACGCGCTTTCAGATGCGCTGCTGGGGCCGTCTGGAACGCTCTTCCTTCCGAGCTTAGGAAGCCACTGGAGCTACGCACTTTTAAATCATCTAGATTTAAAACTATTTTCTTTAGGACTGCTTTTATTGCTTAGTTTATTGTCCTTCCCCAGCACCTCCGACTAGCACGGTTGGCGACGTACGGTGCGAAAGAAGTTCAACATATATACAAAAAATATGCCATTGAAAATATACTAACATTCAGGCTGCCCGAATAAAAATCTAGTTTTCTTTATGTAATTAGAAAAAAAGTTACGTATTAACAGTTCTCTGTGGTACTAGAAGAGTTTTACCAGGTGTCCACTAGACAATAACAGAAACATTGTATTTGTTATTTTGACAGATGCATCGCCACCCCTGAGCTATGTGCACTGTACAGCTCACTGCTGGAAGAGGCTCTCCCAACTCCACGTGCCTCATGGCGGATTTTTTAAAATCATACTTCACCACGCTGGTCAGTGGGTGAGTCGGTGAACGTGGGGAAGGATAGATGTGGTCGGGAGCAGAGGGGAAGAGAACAACAGTGGATTTTGCTGCACACCCTATGCTGCCCACCAGTTGACCCCTCACCTTTCATACGCTCCTATCATGTTGTTTGTATTGTTTGTTGTTGTTGTGACTTTCTGACCCACCCCTACTGGACATCTGTGGAAAAAAAGCTTCACAGCTCATCGGATTTCTCCAAGGATAAAGAAAGATGCTGATTGTGATAAATCAAAAGTGTTGAGCTCTTACCTTCTCCATCTCTGTAACTTCGCCTTGAAGTCTTTGCGTTTTCTTCTGCAGCTTCGACACAGCTTCAGCGACCTGTGGCCGTGAATACGACGCTCCATCCTGAGCATCGAACATCCCTCGCCAAAACCTGCGCAGTTGCAGCCGGAGGCGAGATTTTGAAAACAGTCACATGGTGGCATTGCGTGGTTGTCATGGGCCCTGGTTCAAGGAACGATAGAGGAGCCCCTGTCAAATGTCCCCTTCTTTGTAGCCCAGTTAAATTAAACTAAGCTATTTTTATTTTATCAGGCAAGGCTCCCTGTGCTGTATAGCTCTTTTTCAGAAGCGGCCTGGCTATCACAAATGATAGCTCAACGAAGTGGCTTATCATGTGTACACTTACAGCAGCCAAAGATTCTGAACACATGTTGATTTTAAATGTGGAGGGAAAAATCGGAGGACCCGGAAAAAAAATCCAAGCGACCACGGGGAGAGAGACATGCCAAAATATACAGCAGGCGTCAGGTTCGGGATCTAACGCACGACCTCCTGTATACCATGCGAGGTAGTAAACATCTCACCAGAGAGGCACCTCAGTTCCTGGGGTCCCTACAGACCGTTAGCACTGGTGCAGTTCCACGACCTGCGAACCGTGTGACGTGACTTGAAGTGAGTTTATTAGGGACTGTGTCATGCACCCCTATGCATACCCACCCCACGTTAAACAGGATCATGCTACAGGGTTGGGGTTGTGACAATGCTGCGTGTGCCATGAGTTGCAATGCGCACAGGCAAAATCCAACGGCAGTTCCCGTAGAAGTGCATTGTGGTCCTATTATTGTGCAAATGGTGGGTTTTTCCTCATCATTTACATCTCTGTATTGCCAGCAGCCAATGTATCCATGGGGAGGGGAAGGGGCGGAGGGGGGGAACATAGCAGCTGATCCCCAGGTAAATGAATAGGAGTTGTGTTCTTCTGTTCAGAATATTACACTGGTGCGGGTAGATTGGTCAAACCTGAAGCACTGTGGAGCCAGGTTGGGCTTGAGCACGCCGCGGTTCTGCCTGTGATCGGCGCGGTACAGCGGGTTGTAGAACTCTTCCCGTTTGTCCCACAGAAAAGCCCAGAGCGAATATGTTTTCTCCTTCACCCTAGAGCGGGCGCGACACAATGTTACATCGCACGCATCGTCTGCTGTGCAGTCAAGAACATTGTTTCAGTGAAATGGTTTTAAACAAAAAACATGTCCACCTTCATCAAAATCCTGACTAGGATGAACGTGCATTGACCATAATTTGGGTGATATTTTACTCAATGTGCACTATTTATGAGTTCTGACACATGGTACACTTCCAAAAATAAACACGGCACGGCGTTACAGATCGTAAGCGTCCTTTAGTGACAGAGTTCATTGATGGGAAATTATTTAAAACACCCTGATGTTGTGGCGCCTCAAATTATACTGCTGCACGGGAGTCAAGGTATGAATAATGATGATGACAATCTTGAGTGTCTAATTGCTAAACTTGTTTGTGGGAATTGTTCTTCAACTTACCGCTGAACTCAATCTAATAATAATATTCGGAGCGTTAAACGCTTGTACGCGCAGCGATTTCATTCGTTCGGCTGCATCGGTTGGCGACGGGTCTTTCGGCGACACCTTCGTCCAGATCGTTGCACGTGACCTAACCCCTAGATGTAATTCGTGAATCAATAATTTTCCACCACTCGCCAGACGTACCACAGTGCTCCTTCCCTACCGCGTGCGTTTGCCGACCCCCGCGCTGAGAAAAAAACCAAAACTACTTTTCATAATAAAGGTTTTTGGGTTAGATCGCGTTTATTTATAAATGTGTCGTAACCCTCCACCACCCGACACGGCCAATCAGCAAAAAAAAGTGTCACGTTGACAAAAGACAAATAATTCCCTACTTTAGCCCACCGGTGTGTTGAAGAGTGAATCCACAACATTTACATATAAAACCGGGAGCAAGCGAGGACTTTACCATTCTGGCGAATTGCCCGATGATGCTGGATGTATTTACCAGCGAAACGTCGTACTCAAACTGTAAATGTTGTGGATTCACTCTTCAACACACCGGTGGGCTAAAGTAGTGAATTATTTGTCTTTTGTCAACGTGACACTTTTTTTTGCTGATTGGCCGTGTCGGGTGGTGGAGGGTTACGACACATTTATAAATAAACGCGCTCTAACCTAAAAACCTTTATTATGAATAATATTGGTCGCGAAAGCCTACGTGTTAAACAAAACGACTTTTTTTGGAGGGCGCAGATCAGATTCCCCCGCGACAGCCCTCCAAATGAAGATTCTGACGACCACGCTGTCCCTCACCTGAGCTGGGCACGCTCGCGCTCGCAGTTTCCCAGGAAGTTTCCGAACTGGCAGGAGTGCGTGTGGGCGTGCACGCTGGTGAGCAGCCGCTCCGAGAACTCGAAGGCGCAGGGGAACTGCAGCGAGAGTTGCCACACGCATTCCAGGAGCTGCAGGAAGACCGGAGAAACCTCCCTGGCGTCGCCCTCGACGAAGCCGCACCTTGGGACGGAGCAGACGCAACGCGAGTGGGTGCTTAAATGTGACGCGCTGTGAAAACGTGACGTCACTCAACTGCAACTACTACTGCTGCTGCTGCTGCTATTGTGGTGGTAGCTGGAAATTAGCACACCTACTTGTAAGCACTTTTAAGTCGAGACTGAAACTCATTTCCTTATAACTGCGTCTTGTGTTCAGTTTGTTGTCCTTCCCCCACACCTCCGATTAGCACGGTGGGCTACGTACGGCGCAATGGAAGTTCAACACACGTGCATACAAGGCAAAGGGTAACTTCTCATACAAGCACAAACGTGCATAAGCATACACTGACTTGATCCCTTTGGGGGTGCGTATATATTCAGGGTGCTTCAAAAAAAAATGGCAACACTTACATGGGATTATCGTTTCTAATGCGAAGAAGAATAATACACTGTAACACGATAACAAATGTGCGTCAATAGCTTGAAAAAGTCAAAGAGTCTCCACTTGTTCGCCATCATTGTCAACGCGTTGCCTTTAATCTTCTCCAAGTGGCACTGACCCACGTAGCTTGTAAATGACATGCCGTTGTATAGCTTTACAGAATTTGCTGGGGCATCACGTGATCAAAGCGGCCTTCCTTCTTCCCATCGCCCTCGTTCGGATTTTTCCACGCAGTAAGTTTCCCCCTGTCGGCACCTTCAAGCGTTAGCATAGAGTTTATTTTTTATTTACTGTTAATTTGAACACATCAATGGAGTGCTTGTGAAGGTTCATATCCCAGCATAAAAGGTGAACACATTCAATTGACCCTTGATTACGAGACGTTATTCTAAACTGAAACATGGTCGTTCAGACTCTCCGCAAATAAATATTCTCGCCGCATTTATAGTTACGTTGGCTGCAGAATTGAATGCATACTGTTGGCATTCACACTAGCGAATGTGCTGCATTTATTTTAGAAATGCCATTGCGTATGGCTCAGTACTACTAATCGCCACTGCTCTCAAATTTAAGCGCATAGAAAACTGGCACTACATCTCGCCAAAAATATTCGCTGCAATCACATTCCATTTAATCCAAATGTACTTCCTTCCCCTGCATTCAAATCCTGGCAGCCACCTGTAAATAATTCAGGGTCTCAAGTAAAGTGAGTTGATGGTCTGAGTCCGGTCACCGATGACTTAAATTATATTACGCACTTAATTTGGATAAATTCCAGTCTGTCACGCTATGAACATTACGCTCAGTGGCGAAGTGAGTGATTTCTGTGGGCCAGAGATCACTGAAAAGGATTTCAGAAATAGCTCTGTGATATCCGCTTCTGTGGGTCATTCTCTAAAAGGAATTTTTGCACTGCTCTGTAGGAGATGCGGATGAATCCTTGAGTCTCATGGCAAGACTTCAACAGCCCAATTGGGAAACAATGGGGGAGGGTGGTGGGGGACACAAAAAAGGATAGAAAAACACTGCGTGTTTTGAATACCTTTAAAGTAAAACCAATACATCCTTTGGTGAGATCTAGCGGTTGCGGGCATGTGCACTGTCCCTGCACGTGCCAGCAGGTACTCCACGTCGGAAATAGAATGAAGGTCAGCAATACCGAGATGAAACAACCCAGCAATAGACCTTTCCAGAAAATGTGATAGTTTATTGTTCATCCCGTGCTGTCGGCGACTGGCTTTTATTTACCTCTGGCTGAATTTGTGTCCGAAAGAAATCCACTCCTTTTCAATGAGGACCTGTGCGAGCAGATGCAGATCACAAGATGCACAGTGAGATAAGCTTTGCTCTCACACTGGCACACGTAGTGCCGACTCATTGTCACTCCAAAAGGAGCTTGATAAACACACACAAAAACCCCCAAACATCCCTGCATGAAGCCTTAATAGACTGTAGGAGCAAGTGCTGTTAGCGAGCTCCTATGAAGACGCGGCGGTGGGTGGCCAGCACCATGCCCGGCCGCATTTGTCTCCCAAGTGGCAATATTTACACACCAGGTGCTCATTTGAGGCTCAGTTGACCTAGGGGAGGCCCAGGATAATCATCACTGGTGTTGGCCGTGAGCGGGAATTGAACTCGGGTCGCCGAGTTCAGAGCGCAGCACGCTAACCACTACACTACCGCTCCCCAATAAACACATGCACACATATTCTTAGCTTTAAATCAAAACATGCACACATATAAACACATATATGTATGCACACACACGAGCGACAGTCAAGACATCTTAAGTATGGGATATTTTCTGAAGCTACACAAGCGTAGGAGTAGATTTATTTTGTGGCCTCATTCGTCATGTCTTTATCCCACAACTGCATATGTGAAGTGAATTCACAAGTTACCATAATTGCAAGGTGCGTGAGGTTGTGTGAATTTTTGAATATCCCATTCTAAAAATAGCTCTCCCACTCCGCATTTATTTACATTATTCTCACTATACCCTTGCGATACAGAATAACCCTGTCATACTGAAAGCATCAGTGAATTCTGAAAATATACCAAATGAGAGTATTCTTGTCCACGCAGCACATCGTTCACTTCAAACTCCCGGCCTCTTTTAAAGCGTCATGGAATTATTCGTGTTTCAGTGCTCACATTTATTTCATATCACTTCTGAGTACATCAATGGCCATTCACACCTACGTGCATTTACTAGCTCGCCTCGTAAACAGGAGGTCGTGGGTTCGATCCCGACCCTGATGACGCCTGTATATTTGGAGTTCGCGTGCTCTCCCCTGTGGTCGTGTGGATTTTTCTCCGGGTCCTCCGGATTCTCCCTCCACATTTAGAATCAACATCATGCATTTAGAGTATTTGGCTGCTGTAAATTTGCACACGATGAGCCACTTCGTCCAGCTATTATTTGTGGCCAGGTCACTTCTCAAAAAGAGCTATATAGCTCAGTGGGCCTTGCCTGGTAAAGTAAAAATAATTGTCGCTTATGGTTAATAAATGCGCACGAGCTCTTCGAAGGATGGGGGATGTGACCGCGTGGCGCACCAGAAACCCGCGCAGGGTGCGGTAGTAGGGGTCCAGGAGGATCTCAGCGACGGAGCACACTTGGGCGGTGCGGTCCCAGCCATCGGAGCAGTGGACCAGCACGCTCACGCCCTTGTCGCTCACCGCCTGTCAGGGTCAACCGGCGGGGCAAAGGTCACCAACAAGGTGCGTCAACCCGTGAAGGTCCGCATGGAATGTGTCGCTCCGCAGTGATGTTCACAAAACGGCTCATTTTTTGTCGATCTGCTGCCAGGGTCATGGGGGGCGATTTGACCACGCTTTAGCACACCTGTTGGGTCAGTGAAGGCGAGCAGCATGGACGTGGGAGCAAACAGTACAGTGCAACAATAGATTTTTCTGGGTTGCCCTGTGCTCCGGAAGTAACGCGGTCACGTCGAAAATCCTTATAGACTTGACGCCCGTTGTTAAATTGTTCAGTTTCCACCGCTAACTAATTGTTAATATCTACCAAGAAGCACGGCGGTTAAGGCCTGTGTTTCCCCATGCCATCATCAGCATCTCCCAGTGGTGTGAATTTCCATGTTTACCAATATTCTCCATTTGCATATAAATTAGGTACTCCTATATTGCAATCATCTGTTATTAAATATGTAAATCTCGACCATAGGGAGGTTTGGGGCTCGTGTTGGAGAACTGACGCTCCAGGCAATTTGTATCATTAAGTCAAGGTCAAAACTGTAAATTCGCCCAGAAATAAGATGCTCGCGAAGAATAACAAGGGTCAGACAGAATAAGAAAATTTAGACGTTCGGAATAATTTCACGAGCAAAGTTACGATTGTGTCGTGTAGGCAGGACGTCAGTTAGGTCTATAACCCTTTAGCACGTGACAGAACCAAACCAAGTAAACTGTCACGAGGGGGAAATGTGCCAGTTGCCTTCATTCAAAATCTTTCTCGCATTTCAACAGGGCCCGTGTTTTTTGCAAACAAAAAACAAATTAGTAACAACTTTAATTGTTGAGCTGTGTCCGGTCGGTGGAGGGTTATAGGTTTAATTGGCACGATGTACCACAAAATAAACCAATTACGGAACATTAGGATGAACGTAGAAAGATTAAATGAACAGTAGTAGTAGGAAAGAGGAACGCACACTGCTATGTTATGGCCACGTCAGAAGAATGGCACCAAAGAGGGATCCGGCAAAATCGTTGGCAACGCGAGTGGAAGGAAACAGAGGCAGCGGATGACCAAGAAAACAATCATCGTCACGAACCGGCTTCTCTTCCTGCCTTAAAACAACCCCCGTCTCTTCTCCCCTAGCCCATCATCATCATCATACTCCTGATGCTCCTTGTGCCACCCCGAGCTACAGCCAGGCCCACCCCAACCCCTCCCACTACTCCAACCTCTATTACTACCCCTATCACTCTCACTACCCCTATCACTCTTACTACCCTATCACTCTCACTACCCTATTACTCGCACTCCCTCTATCACTTTCACTCCCCTATCACTCTCACTTCCCCTGTCACTCTCACTACCCCTATCACTCTCACTCCCCTATCACTCTCACTACCCTATCACTCTCACTCCCCTATCACTCCCCTATCACTCTCACTCCCCTATCACTCTCACTCCCCCTATCACTCTCACTACCCCTATCACTCTCACTACCCCTATCACTCTCACTACCCTATCACTTTCACTACCCTATCACTCTCACTACCCCTATCACTCTCACTCCCCTATGACTCTCACTCCCCTATCACTTTCACTTCCCCTATCACTCTCACTACCCCTATCACTCTCACTACCCTATCACTTTCACTACCCCTATCACTCTCACTCCCCTATCACTCTCACTCCCCTATCACTCTCACTCCCCCTATCACTCTCACTACCCCTATCACTCTCACTCCCCTATCACTCTCACTCCCCTATCACTCTCACTCCCCCTATCACTCTCACTCCCCTATCACTCTCACTACCCCTATCACTCTCACTCCCCTATCACTCTCACTTCCATATCACTCTCACTCCCCTATCACTCTCACTTCCATATCACTCTCACTCCCCTATCACTCTCACTTCCCCTGTCACTCTCACTACCCCTATCACTCTCACTCCCCCTATCACTATCACTCCCCTATCACTCTCACTCCCCCTATCACTCTCACTCCCCCTATCACTCTCACTCCCCTATCACTCTCACTCCCCTATCACTCTCACTACCCTATCACTTTCACTCCCCTATCATTCTCACTCCCCTATCACTCTCACTCCCCCTATCACTCTCTCTCCCTTATCACTCTCACTCCCCTATCACTCTCACTTTCCCTATCACTCTCACTCCCCTATCACTCTCACTCCCCTATCACTCTCACTCCCATAATACTCTCACTCCCCCTATCACTCTCACTCCCCTATCCCTCTAACTCCCCTATCCCTCTAACTCCCCTATCACTCTCACTCCCCTATCACTCTCACTCCCCTATCACTCTCACTACCCCTATCACTCTCACTCCACTATCACTCTCACTCCCCTATCACTCTCCCTCCCCTATCACTCTCACTCCACTATCACTCTCACTCCCCCTATCACTCTCACTCCCCTAACACTCTCACTCCCCTATCACTCTCACTCCCCTATCACTCTCACTCCCCTATCACTCTCACTCCCCTATCACTCTCACTCCCCTATCACTCTCACTCCCCTATCCCTCTAACTCCCCTATCACTCTCACTCCCCTATCACTCTCACTCCCCTATTACTCTCACTCCCCTATTACTCTCACTCACATAATACTCTCACTCCCCCTATCACTCTCACTCCCCCTATCACTCTGACTTCCCCTATCACTTTCACTCCCCCCTATCACTCTCACTCCCCTATCACTCTCACTCCCCTATCACTCTCACTACCCCTATCACTTTCACTCCACTATCACTCTCACTCCCCCTATCACTCTCACTCCCCTATCACTCTCACTCCCCTATCACTCTCCCTCCCCTATCACTCTCACTCCCCTATCACTCTCACTCCCCCTATCACTCTCACTCCCCTATTACTCTCACTCCCCTATCACTCTGACTCCCCCTATCACTCTCACTCCCCTATCAATCTCACTCCCCTATCACTCTCACTTCCCCTATCACTCTCACTCCCCGATCACTCTCACTCCCCTATCACTCTCACTCCCCCTATCACTCTCACTCCCCTATTACTCTCACTACCCTATCACTCTCACTTCTCTATCACTCTCACTCCCCTATCACTCTCACTACCCTATAACTCTCACTCCCCCTATCACTCTCACTCCCCCTATCACTCTCACTCCCCTATCACTCTCACTCCCCTATTACTCTCACTCCTCTATCAATCTCACTCCCCTATTACTCTCACTCCCCCTATCACTCTCACTCCCCTATTACTCTCACTCCCCTATCACTCTCACTTCCCTATCACTCTCACTCCCCTATCACTCTCATTTTCCCTATCACTCTCACTCCCCTATCACTCTCACTCCCCTATCACTCTCACTCCCCCTCTCACTCCCCTATCACTCTCACTCCGCTATCACTCCCACTCCCCTATCACTCTCACTCCCCTATCACTCTCACTCGCCTATCACTGTCACTCCCCTATCACTCTCACTCCCCTATCACTCTCACTCCCCTATCACTCTCACTCCCCTATCACTCTCACTCCCCTATCACTCTCACTCCCCCTATCACTCTCACTCCCCTATCACTCTCACTCCCCTATCACTCTCACTCCCCCTATCACTCTCACTCCCCTATCACTCTCACTCCGCTATCACTCTCACTCCCCCTATCACTCTCACTTTCACTATCACTCTCATTTCACCTATCACTCTCACTACCCCTATCACTCTCACTTCCCCGATCACTATCACTCCCCCTATCACTCGCACTCCCCTATCACTCTCACTCCCCTATCACTCTCACTTTCCCTATCACTCTCACTACCCCGATCACTCTCACTTCCCCTATCACTCTCACTACCCCTATCACTCTCACTCACCTATCACTCTCACTCCCCTATCACTCTCACTACCCTATCACTTTCACTCCCCTATCATTCTCACTCCCCTATCACTCTCACTACCCTATCACTCTCACTCACCTATCACTCTCACTCCCCTATCACTCTCACTCCCCTATCATTCTCACTCCCCTATCACTCTCACTACCCCGATCACTCTCACTTTCCCTATCACTCTCACTACCCCGATCACTCTCACTCCCCTATCACTCTCACTCACCTATCACTCTCACTCCCCTATCACTCTCACTCCCCTATCATTCTCACTCCCCTATCACTCTCACTTCCCCTATCACTTTCACTCCCCCTATCACTCTCACTCCCCTATCACTCTCATTCCCCTATCACTCTCACTCCCCCTATCACTCTCACTTCCCCTATCACTTTCACTCCCCCTATCACTCTCACTCCCCTATCACTCTCACTCCCCCTATCACTCTCACTCCCCTATCACTCTCACTACCCCGATCACTCTCACTCCCCTATCACTCTCACTCCCCCTATCACTCTCACTCCCCTATCACTCTCACTCCCCTATCACTCTCACTCCCCTATCACTCTCACTCCCCTATCACTCTCACTCCCCTATCACTCTCACTCCCCTATCACTCTCACTCCCCTATCACTCTCACTCCCCTATCACTTTCACTCCCCTATTACTCTCACTCCCCTATTACTCTCACTCCTCTATCACTCTCACTCCCCTATCACTTTCACTCCCCTATCACTTTCACTCCCCTATTACTCTCACTCCCCTATCACTCTCACTCCCCTATCACTCTCACTCCCCTATCACTCTCACTCCCCCTATCACTCTCACTCCCCTATCACTCTCACTCCCCTATCACTCTCACTCCCCCTATCACTCTCACTCCCCTATCACTCTCACTCCCCTATCACTCTCACTCCCCCTATCACTCTCACTTTCACTCCCACTATCACTCTCATTTCCACTATCACTCTCACTACCCCTATCACTCTCACTTCCCTGATCACTATCACTCCCCCTATCACTCGCACTCCCCTATCACTCTCACTCCCCTATCACTCTCACTTTCCCTATCACTCTCACTACCCCGATCACTCTCACTTCCCCTA